GTGAGCCCACTATACAATACTCTAAGATTGTATTTATGTGTGATATTAATTATACTCATGGTCCATCCTGTCACAGTCTTGTCACAGCTGCAGCTTTAGTACTGTTTCATTTGGTCTTAAAAATGGTTTATGGAGATTCATGCACTATAGACATTAATTATGTTTCTTAAGGGTTTTGATACAAATTTAGCACATTGAAGTTATCTCTTAAAAAAAAGTTGTTTTGGTTTGTGAAAATATTGTTCTAAGTACTTGTGATGACTGAATTCTATTAAATTCTGTTTTATGGGAAAGGTGTTACCTCTTTTCCTAGTGTCTAATATTAAATAGTATATCGATATAAATGTAATCAACCTTATCACTTATGGGCTGCTACACAGCTTGAAAAGTAGTATTAGCACCAATAATTTACCTGGATTTACGTTACAGCCCTGTGACAGCGTTACCAATTAGTTACTAGTCTGTTTTTGTGTGAGGATATTAAGAATGTAAAAGGCTGCCATGCTTTCCAAACCTACACAGGTAATACATGTTTGATTGACTACCAAAACCCCAATAAAAATACTCTTTTTGATCCACTGTAGTCTTAGGGCAACCACATACTTCTCATGCAACAAATCTATAAAGCTCTGCCATTGTATCGTCAAGATTTCTGGATCTAATTCTATGATAACTCTCATATTTGCTCCAAATTTTCATGAATTCTATTGACTTAAGCAACAGGCAAATTCAGTGGGTGTCATTATGGTCCAATAAAGAATATTTTTTTAAAATAAAACTGAACACATTTGCAGAAGAATTAATTTTGGGCTCATTTTAAATTCTACCTAAGTTTTATTCTTCCACTTAGGAACTAGGCTGTCCCTCCTCTTTTCCTTCTTCCTCCTGTTCCCCAATGATCTCTGAGCTTGTTAGTCTTGGTAAATTTATTTATCAAGGTAACAAAGCCAGGTTGCAAAAAATTATTATCATCACTCTTTATGTGGCTTTCCTTGAAAGTATATCCTTTATATAGAATAGTCACTGGGCTCTTTGCAGTGTCAAATGAGTACAGTTCATCAGCTCACCACTATCTATCATGTTGCATGTTGACCGACTGTTTCAGAAGCTCTGTAGTACATGTTTTCTCTTTCTGTTTTTTCTATTTATTTAGTTTTTCATTTATAACTTTAAAAAATATTTATTGAGCTTTTGTATATTTCATACAATAGGTTTTTTTCACTTTGAAGTTTTTAATATTAGTGTTTCAAGATTTTTCAATGTAATATGCTAATTGGTAGCTTGATCTTGCCGGCTAATAGCAGGTTGGTTTTTTTGTTTGTTTTTTTGTTTTTTAAATTTTTTTATTTTTTAGAAGAAGCATTTCATTACAGCTTTAACATACTCAACAATAATTTCCATAGCAAAGATACATCTCTTTCAAAAGTGGCTATAAAATTTTTAGATTCACAGTTGAATTCATATACAGTTATACAATATTGAACTCAGTATAAACCCTGTAAGATATAAAGTTGAATGAGTTTTTAATTTTTAAAAAAGGTCTCCATTTCATTTTAAAATATACTCTTTCTTACAGAAAAACTCATTGCTTTTGCTAATAATACTTAATTTTAAAAACCAGAGGGGACCATATTAGTCCAACAACCTACTGACAAATTATACATACCAGATCAAGAAATATATGTTTAGGCAAGGTTTATCTGAGAACAGTTGGTCTTTGCTCAAGCTTTATCTACATGACATACAATAGTTTTTTAAAAATCAAATTTAGACCTCCTCTCCTATCGATGCCCCCCTACAACCCCCACCGGACCTCATGTATTCCACTATACATGTTCAGTCCTATTCAGTCACGCTTTTGTACCTAGATGTCCTGCAGTGCAAATTCATCCACTGAAGTCTAATCAGCCTATGTAGGGATGTTAAGGTCTTCTCTCCCTCACCCAGTAGTAATTATCCTTCAACACTTCCCAGTCTAGGGCAGGCCCACACCCCATTTTCCCTCACTCCACTCTGTGCCCTTGTCTGATAGAGTTGGCATGGGTCCTGTCCTCAATGCCACCATTGCCACAAGTTCACATGTGTAAGCTTCCAGTGGCCTGACAGCCTCTGCTTCCCTGTGTTCATGGACCAACCCTGGCTCTTAACAAATTTCCCCACCCCTTCTTTTGCAATGGTGCCTGAACTGTGGTTGGGTGAGTTTTAAAATAGGAGTCCTATCCAGGGACACATATTCCTCAGTTTCTTATGCTTTAAAACTTGGCCAGTTGTGGCCTTCTGTGTACACCTCACTCTGTTATATAAGGAAGTATCACTGGCTGGTGAGAGTTGAGGGATACACTAGTTTTCTCACTATCCCCCCCCACCGCCTTCTGCTCAGTTCAATGAGCCTTAGCATCTCTCAGATGGAGGCGATTCTCCAATTGAGACTACCTCTACCCAGCTGCATCAAGTTGACAACTAATGCTATCCAGCACATATAGTATCCTCTAGAGCTATGAGAGCTAAACTTCAGATATAAGGCTTCCAGGTCAGTTACTGTTCCTTTGCTCCAAGTCGTGTCCAAAGTATGTCCTGTCTTCAGCAGTAGGGTCTCATCTTCCAGTTCTGGGAGATAATCATCTTTCTTAAATATCATTCCTTCCCATGCAGGCTCATGGCTCCTCCAGTATCCATTTATAAAGCTGTCACTAGGCTTTATAAGGAACCTATTTTTCTCACTGACCCCAGAGGACAGACTTCTGATTTTCCCCACTCTCTAGATCTCTCGAGCTAAATGTTTGATGTCTCCACTCAGCTTCCTCTTTGTCTTACCCTTTATTCCCATAAACCATCCCATGACTTAGCATAATTTTTAAACTTCACTTAAATTAGAGTCGATTTTCCATACTCACAAACAACCTTGCTTGCTTTGCAGGAGTAAAAAGAAAAATGTTTCAATTACTAATGCAGTGATTTAAAACAGCCAGCCCTTTTTGTTATCATGCACTGTTTTTAGAGCACTATTATATTTTCTTAAATTTACTGTCACTCACTTACTGAGTTACTATACATTTTGTTTAACCTCGTGTATTTTTTTCATTTGTGTTTCTCTTGTACACCCTTTTTCTTAGTCCAACCAGATGGGTGTGTATAGAAAGCTCTCTGCACTCAGTCTTTGTATGAGTGGTTCCTAAAGCTCTCTACTCTGTATCAGTGGTTCCTAAATCACATTAGACTCATTGACACTTTTGGACACCTTGTTTGGATAGCGTCACTCACTTTCAAGTTTATTTAGGAGACAAAAAACAGGAAGCACTGCTTGTCTATGTCATTTCTGTAGATGGGGGCCAAGTCATTTAGTCATTTCTGTTTGTTCTGATAATTAAACTATACTAATCAGGTCAATAATGACCCAGGTAAGAAATGGATTCACAGTGGCAGATGAGATGCTTCCACTCCTGTATCCGACCTCAGTCTTGACACGACAGACACTGGCTGGCAAAGATAACTCTAAGTGGTAAGAGTATGTTCTTGGTAAGTTTATGTAATTCTGACTAGAACTTGGGTCTTCTCGAATAGTGCCACTAAGTGAGCGTGAATTGAAGCTTTCCTTCCGTGGGCAGTGTGGTGGAGTTAGTGGGCAAAGGTCAAGGATGGGCAGCTTTCACTGCCGTTGTCCCTAAGGGCTAATCATGACTTCATCTCATCTGCATCTCATCTCCATCTCTCTCTCTCATGACTTCATCTCATCTGCATATAAATCCCACAGTTTTCTGAGTGCCTAAATGTAGTTCACTGCATAAAAGAAAGAAAAGTTAATTGCATACTCTTTAGTAAACATGTATAAAGTTCGCTCTGAGTATGTGTCAAAGGAGGGATAATGAAAACTTAAGGGGAAATAGTTACACTAGAAACTTATCTCCTCAAATCCAGCTGCATCTCCTCCTGTGCTCCATACTCATCACAGCCTCCACCTGTACAATCACTCAGGTTTGGAACTGAGCTCTCCCAACTGGTCTCAGGGCCTCTTGGCTGGAGTCCCTCCTATTTCCTCTCCACATTGGACCTTACAAAGTTTAGGCTTTATCTGATTTTATCTGTTTGCTGGTTTAAATCTTTCAGACTTCCCAGAGTCTGGTTGTGTTTATGCCCAGATTCTTAGCTAAGCAGACAAACTTCTTCACGATTTGCAACTGGTATGTTTATTTGGTTTGTCCTCCATCCCTGTTCCATAGCACCTTCAGCTCTGTTCCTGTCAAACTGCTTGCTTCTAGCTTCAAGGCCTCCACGGGTATTGCTCTCTCTACTTGAAACTAGGGTTTCTTCCGTGTGTGTGTCTTATATGTGCATATGTGTGTGCAAGGGTGGAGTGTACACTCATATGTGCAGGTGTAGAGGACATTTGTGTCCTCTATCAACTCTGACTTATTCCTTTGAAGAAAGGTCTCTCACTGAACCTGGAGCCAGCCCGGCAGCCATCAAGCCCCAGTGATCATCCTGTCTCCATTCCCCATCCACAACAGCACTGGGGTTACAGACATGCACACATCCATGCCCAGCCTTTTTATGCGGGTGCTGGAGATTTAGGTCCTTGGGTTTGCTGTTTGATCTGCCAAATAAACTATGCTAGCATAGCAAGTGCTATTACTCACCAAACCACCTTACCAGCCTCCCCTCCCTTTATCTACCCAGTTAATACTATACCTTCAAGACCAAGTTCTTTTTTTTAACTTAAAAAAAATTATTTATTATTTTATGTGTATGTGTGTATTGCCTGCATGTAGGTAACTGCACTTCTGTCGTGCAATGCCCATGGAGGTCAGAAGAGGCTGTGAGATCCCCTGGAACTGGAGTTACAGGCAGTTGTTAGCTGCCATGTGGGTGCTGGGATTCGAACCTGGGTCTTCTGCAAGAACAACCAGTGTTCCTAACCACTAAACCATCTCTCTAGCCCCAAGACCAAGTTCTTAAAGGAAACCATCTAATCCTTTAATGATATGTTTTTTTTTTTTCCACAGCATCTTCAGGAGTGGTCTCAGCACATGTCCTACAAGATAATGCTTGACAACTGTGAAACTTCACAAGGGAAAAGAGTGTGTCATTATCTTCTCCAGCATTAAAGAGTGGGCACGGTATGCATGAAGAAATTCAATGTTCCTTTGGAACTAAAAGGAACTGGATGATTCAATAAACTACGTAGGAATAGCTGAGGTTTCCTGGGAGGAAAGATTTGTAATGAATACCTTCCTACGAACAAGTCACTGTGGTTGAATATGGTCTTGTACAATCTCACCTTCAATGGTTGCATACTTCTCAGGTCCTGGCTGCTGAGCACAAACTCTTTCCTAGACTGGAGGTGAGGCTCATTTCTCTCTGTAATAAACACCTGTTGGATTGCATGATGAGTTCTTACTTAACCAAGCTGCCTCATATCCATAACCAAATTACTTTAAAATCTCCATCTCTCTCTTCTGATATCTTTTCCTCTAAATACTGAAAAAAGAAAGTGAATTTCTGTTAACATGCCTGTGTCTACACTAGGGAACCAGTCATGTTTTAAGCCTTGAGTATGGGCAACCTGATTGCTTCAATAAACTTTAGAGCACAGATGAAAGACAAGCCCTCATAGTGCTGAGTGTAGACCCTTGCTTGTCCTTGTCTATTTGTGCCATGAGGGGTACATCACCTTCCTCTTTAAGCCCCAACTTCTTTTCCAGAATGTTCTAGGTTATAATATCTTCCATGTGTGATTTTCGTCATATGAGATGATCCATATAGTGCTTCTAAGCTCTGCATTGTTCTTCTAGACACCAGAACGGTATCAGTCTGTATCAATATAATGATTCTTTCAGTCAATAATGCTATACTGAATTTCATTTGGACTCATATTTCTAGATCAAAGAGTGTCCAAATTTGTATTTATTAGTGTTTGAAAATGAACATATAGAGTACTAAGTTTTATTAATCCATCCTCTTTTACACTTGTGCTTTTGACCCTTCCCTCCTCTTTCCAAGTCTTCTGTTTCTTCTTGTTGGCTCTCTTCCTTCCCTTAGTGGCCTCTCTTCTGTTTTCATGCCACCTGCATTCTAAGATCCTCTTTTTTGCTCTTTATCCTTCCTTTATCTTGAGATCTCTTTTCCCCCCTCTTGTGGTCCCTGTTCCAGTTTCAAGAACTACACTGCCCACAGACAAACATATATATACACAAAAATCTAGGATCTCTTTAATGAGAAAAATATGTGATATTTATTTTTCTGAGTTTTGGGCACTTTGCTTAACGTAACAATTTCCGGTTCCATTCATTTTCCTGTAAATGTCATGATTTTACTTTTCTTTATGGTTGATAAAAGTTCCATTGTTTATATGTCCCATATTTCCTTTATCCATTATTTGTTGATAGACTTTCAGGCTGGTACCATTTCTTAGCCATTATGAATAGTTCAGCAATAAACATGAAGGGCAAGCTTGTCTGCCATAAGGCTCAGATGTTTGTGGACTAAGGAGTGGCATAGCTGGGTGATGTGATCGTTCTATTTTTAGGATTCTTGTTTGTCTTATTTTGCTTTGTGAAATAGGACCTATTGTAGCCTAGCCTAGCCCAAGACACACTATGTAGCCAACAATAGTGAAACTTCTCTGTCCTCTTGTTTCTACGTTCCCAGATTACTGCTCTGAGGCACCACATATGGCTCTGTCTTTAGTTTTTGAGAACCCTCCATGCTGATTTCCATAGTAGCTCTACCAGTTTACATTCTTGTCAGCAGTGAATGCAGGCTGCTCTTTCCTTACAACCTCAGCACCTTTTGTTGTCCTTTGTTTTCTCTATCTTAGCCATTCTGACTGGGGGAGATGGCATCTCAAGGTAGTTTTAGCTTATGTTTCCCTGATGGCTTAGGATGCTAAACAATTTTAAAGTATTTATTGCCCATTTGTGTTTCTTCTTTTGAGAATGGCCTATTCAGTTCGTTAGACCATTTACTGAGTGGAAGATTTATTAATTGTTCTTTGATTTTTGCAGCTCTTTGTCTAGTCTAGAAAATAAACCTCTGCCATAGTATAGAAGTCAAAGATTTTCTCCCATTCTGTAGGACGTCTTTTCACTCTGCGAATAGTTTCTTTTACTGCTTATATGCTTTTAAATTTCATGTGCTAACTTTTGGGGTTATTGCCTGTGCGATTAGAGACCTTTTCAGACAGTTCCTGCTTATATCTAAAACTTAAAGAATTTCCTCTGCTGTTTTTCCTAGCAGTTTCTTATATAAAGGTCTTTGAAACATTTTGAATAAATTTTTGTATAGGCTAAGAGATATGAACATTTTCAGTGTTTTAAATACAACTAAATATGGGCTCTGAGATGAATCTCCAATCTAGTTATAAAAGGCATTTTCTTATAGCTATTATATAAGTTGATGTGAACATTAAGATCACATAATTTTTTTAACTGGAAGATTATTATTGTCCCTCAAAGTACAATATGGATATAAATGTGAAAGGCAGAGAAGAATCCAGGCCTGATTTGAACAGTCAGCTGATTTTACCCCTAACCCCTTTACTTCATCTGCTCACCCCATTCTTTCCCAGGTTCTGTGCACTTTGTATTCAGGTTTTTGCCTCTATGTTCCCAACATCATTTACTAGATTCACATTTCTGATCTAGCAAATCCAGTATCTCATGGTTTCTTGAAAAGTTGTACAGACCTCGTCTTTCTTTCAGCGCATTCTCATTGCTCCCTTATTCCCATCTTCCCCTTTCTCATCGTTTAGTAACCTGGACATTGACTTCAAGAATATAACCACAGATTTCCTTACCTTTTTGTTTTCAAATGGGCTCAGTCAGTAAGGGGCATCAGGAAGACACAGGCGGCAAGGGAAGAGGTAAATACCTTGCAGAGCCACGTCATGCTTTGCCTTGATGGGTGCTAGCAAGACTGCCCTTCATATGCTCCCAGCTTCTGTGGCCAGACCCGCAGCTACAACCCCATCTATTACAGGCTTCAGTATCACCTTCCTTACACATACCAGCCTATGTGTAGGAATAACACAGACTTCCTGATCCCAGAGTGCTGAAGTACTTTCTATGTCAGTGTTAATTCCTGAACCCTTCCCCATCCATGAAACAAATCCTTGAATTCTTTGTAGCTAAACCTTTCCTGCAGAGATTTGTTTGACTCTGTTGTAGTGCATCTTCAGTGACAAGAAAAAGATACTTTCCAGGATTTTGTGACAAAGAGTCTAAATGGGCAAGCAAATTGGATTACTTATTAAATTAATGAAATTGAGATCCATAGAGAATTAAATTACATTTTTTGTCTATTCATGGTCAGTTCATTGAAGTATTCCCTGACCTAGAATCATCAGGCAGAAGCATCAGACAGTGGCATCTTGGCTCTCCCTAGTGAGTAGAGCTTAGTCAGTCACCTTCTACTTCCTCTTAGACGGTAGCAGTAGCTGTCTGTAAGGTCTAGGATTCACCCTTTCAATATCCACCCACTACTAACCCTGGCTTCTGAACAGTCCTTTAAGTGCAAATCAGATCATTTTAAGCTTAAAACTACTTGTTAGCTTCCTCTCTCCCTTAGGATAAAGACACACTGTGCCTAAAAAGTCTTTGTATTGACTTCTACCTTCTCCACCTTTCCTCTGTGTGCTCATTGCTCGTAAATTTTCATGCCACACATTAAATGCTCCTTTCCCCCCCCAAATGTGCTATTTTAACACCACAGTACCTTCCCATATTCCATCACCTGCCTTTAAAGTTCTATAACCTCCCGAGGTGGCAAATCTTACCTATACTTCATACTTCTAGATTTCAATAATTTCCTCAAAAATCACTTGCTTGAGGAAAATCCTTGTGCAGTGACCCAGACTTCACCTGTTCTATGACCTCACCTGTTATGATCTCCAGACATACTACAGTTATACTTATTAGCAGCTATCTCAATTCGAACTAAATTTGAAAGGTTTATTGCACGTATATTTTTCAGTTATGGAGAACTGGAATGGTTTTCCATGTCCTTATACTTTATCTCCATTTCTAGATCAATGGCTAAAACAAATAGTTAGAACTCAATAAATATTTCTGAATGAATAACTATTATATATTTGGGGAATTAATAAATAATTTGGAGTGCTGACAACTAATTTTAGGGAGGACTGCACAGGCAGAATCTTGAAATGGCCTCAAGTGCACAGTGAGAAATGTACACTGTTTTTGAGTTTCATAAGCAGGGACAGTAATAAAGTAATAATTATTATTATTTCTGTTGTTTTTATTTAAGCCTGATCTTATTCAACTTTTTTACTGGAGGAAGAATGGTTTGGAGGTGAAAGAAGTTGTGATGCCTGACTAAGAAGAAAATTCAGTTATCTGGAAAGTTAATATGAAGCAAACATGTGAAACTGGTGTAGCTCAGACTGGGATCATATCACAATCCTTTAGCTGGGGAGTAAATTCCACAGCAGCTAATGCCTCCCAAAGAAGGACAGAGACTGGAATTATGGTTTTATCAAGTCCCTTTGGAATTCTGATACCCTTGTTAGTTCAAGAACCATGCAGTAAAGGAAAGGCAGTGAGATACAGTCTTGATTTAACGGAATGATTAGACTCGGGAGAAGAGCAGAGTAGAGGAGGGCATGTTACTGAGCAGTCAACATCAACTTTCAGGCTATTGTTCCAGGAAAAGATTTCATGCCACTGGCTGAACTGGGGAGAAATCACCCCACAACTTCACTATTGGAACTACTCTGTTGTATTCTTTTCACTTATCCTTCCTTATATGAAATAAGACATATCGTAACTGACCTTGGGTTTTCTAATTCCCAATCTGTCTATTAAAAATTCTTACAAGTTAGAATTGACAGGTTATATGACATCTTAGAATACACATAATGCATATATATATTTATAAGTGTACCATTTTATCACTCTGAACTTGATTTACCTTTGAAAGGAAACAGAAAATTCCATAGTGGTTTTTATAATTATTTATTTAATAACCACATGATTAGAAGAAGCATTGCATTACAGCATTAACATATTCAATAACAATTTCCAGAGCAAAGATGCATCTCTTTCAAAATTGCTGTAAATTTTTAGATTCACCGTTAAGTTAATTCAGTTATACAATACTGAACTCAATATAAACCCCAGGAAAGCTGCTGGCTCCAGGAAGCTGTGGGACTGGGCCACCCAGAGAACCATAATGGTTTTATAGTACAAATTTATAAGGTATTATTACCTTTTTGTTGTCAAATTTTTTCATGATTCATCACAATTTACTATTATAGTAACAATAAGTCTTGTATAAGATCAACTGAAAAATATTTATTTCTTAACAAAATTTTTAAAAAGCCCTGTTCACACAGTAGCAAAGTGCTGATGTTTGCTAATCTTCACTGGCATTACTGAAAGTGTTTTAAAAAGAGTTTTGCAGATTTAATATTAGTTTGACCTTTGTTTAAGGTCAGATTAATAGCAGTTTTACCTAGAGTTTGGACTTGAATATGAAATGTAGCAATGGACACCATCCAGGAACAGGAATTTAAATAAGTCTTATGAAGAAACCCATAACCCACAGATTACTGTAAATATACTTTTCTGCAAAACATTGAAATTTCCCTTTTTGTTCCAAATGCTGTACATTCTGGGACAGTTGAGACAAACTGAGCTCTGGCCCAGACACTGCTAACCAAGTCTGAATCCTGTCTGTCACTCAACCTTATCTGTATGCCAGTCCCCTCATCTTCAAAATGTTGCTAGTGACTTGTCCCTCGCTATCCCTCCTGTTCCTACAATTCTGTGATTCACAATTCTATCAACCAAGCCTCTTTGTAGTTTTTAATAGAAATGTGATTTAATCTGGGAACATCTGTCATAGTCTGTAACATATTTTACCAAGTCCTTGACCTTAATTTTGCCATAGACATCAGATGTTCCTTCACAGATTCTACTGTGATTTTACTGAAGGAGCATCAATTACACTTGAGCCATAAGTAGTGTCAATCTGACTAAAAAATGTGCTAGATTTGTTAACATTACCATTAAGTGACTTCTTAATCAAGGATGTAAATACCACTAATATATAATTCAGTGCTATTTTAGTATTAGAAATTATACAAGCACCCATCTTATGTCTTTATTTTTATACATATTGCCAAAGAAAAGTGTTCTTGTTAAAGGCGTCATACTTTTTCCAAATAAACATATATTCAAAAATAATTCTGTGGTGCACAAATTCCCATATTAATTGATAAAACATAGTCCTCATTTCTCAGAAGAATGAACATTTCTCTATTTAATCACTATAGCTACTTCTATCATTTATCAAAAAAATTTCTGCTCTTTGGAATTAATTAATTGTGCAATTCCACTTATAACAAAAAGTTTTGACCATAGGCAGGGCATGGTGGCAATCACCAATAATCACAGCCCAATGATAGAGCAGGAGCATAGGAAAATAAGTTCAAAACTAGCATCAGTTATACAATGAGTGTGAGATCAGTCAAGGCTACATGAGGTCTTCTGTAACAAAACCAAACCAAATTAAAATTAAACATAAAACAACAAAAGCAAAAAATTGGGCCTTAAAGATGATAAAATTTCTGGAAGGCATGGTGGCCTACCCCTTTAATCCAGCCCCTGGGAGGCAGAGCCAGGTGGATGGACATAGCCAGTTCCAGGACAGCTGGGCTACAGGGAAACCCTTTCTCAAAAAGACCAACAAATAAATAAATAAATAAAATTTCCTCAGTTCAAAGTTCAACTTACTGTAAAGCAAAGAACTGTCACCTATTATCTATCCTCTACATTTGATCCTTTACATATGAAGAAATAAATATACAATTTTGCCATCTATGTCCATACATTTGTGAATAAAATTGCTCATTTTTCTAAGTTTAGTTACTAATCAAAACAAATGTTTGGATCCAAAGGGAATAGAGGGCAATCATCTTATGCACATGTCCACAATTCATTAGACTTAGCAAACTTCTGTGCTCTGTTTCTGTGAGCTTGCTTTCCAATCTGCAGGTGACCCTGTGGAAAGCACAGATGAGGAATAACTTTGAGTGAAAACGACCCGTGATGACTGCAGCGTAGGTCTCATCCCACAGTTACCAGACAGTGGGCAACAATGAGTTATTGAGGAAAAGTTAAATAAGCAGAATAAAGCCACACGTAAGACACTTCCCTTTGCTCATGTCATTTATGATCTCATGGTAACAACATAGTTATTTTGTTTTACATCGTGCTCTTTTCTTTATAGTAAATCAGAAAATTTCAGCAAGTGTATTGGGTTTCCTAGTGCTGTATTCCCTGCTTCTCTTATGGTTTTCATTGTTGATTAGAATCATATGCTTTTAACATCCAGGGATATTATCTCCCAATGTAATTTGCATTTAAAAATATTATTATTATTATATTTGTGTGTGTGTGTGCTTTTTTGAGGTGGCCATTTGAGAAAGGGTCTCACTATGTATTCTTAGCGAGTCTGAAAATTACTACGTAGATTATCTCAGACTGGCCTCTAACTCACAGAGATTTATCTGCCTCTGCCTTCAGAGTGCTGGGATTAAAGGTATCCACCATATGCCTGTTTCTTTATAAAAAAATAACCTTAATACTTTGCAAAAGTATTCCAGGAAGTAAAATTGAGACACACATTGCTTACAAGGGTACTGTTTCCCTGCCATCTGACTGTCTTTTCTAGTCTCTTTATCTCAGGCTGCAAGTTCTAGTCCACCCGTCTGTGCCAGGTGCCTTAGTTTTCCACTAGTTTTCTGCTCCCTGAGAGCTAGGTCTACACAGCTGGTTCTTGGTCCAGGTGCTTCATGAAAAGGAGTGGGTAAATGAACATTAGGAAGAGAGACAAAATATCCATTTGCATTGTAATTTGCAAAAATGTAAAATGTCCTAAAAGTGGCTTCTTATGTTCCCCTCCCCTTAGATGCATGGCTAAGACAAGAGCTTCCATATTGGTACAGATGTGGGGATTCATATGGGCTGGATGACCTTCTCAGGTCAGGCCACGTGTAGACATTCCAAGCTAGTGTTAGTCTCTATCTTCTAAATGCAGCCCTAGAATTCTTTCCACTAGTTCATTCTCAGCATCCTATTCTGGGACTATTATCTGCAGTGCAGGAACATGTCTTTGGGCATTCCTGTCACTCACTGAAGAACTTCATAAGGTGCTTTGATTATGAAATCAGGAGAAATCTGAAAGCTTTGATATGATGACAACTAGGAATGACTAAAAGAATGATACACATCCCTCCTTTTCTTAAAAATAGTCTGTTCAAAATTGCTGGGAATTTCTCACAGCAGCATGAGAGGAGTTGTAGCAGCAGGCATTCATGTTTCTGGAGTATGCAAGTTTTCTTTCATGATTCTAGGACAAAGAATGAAGTGATAATGGCTCAGTAGTGACTGATTTCATTCAGTACAAATATCCCCATACCAATGGTGAGAGTAGGAGTCTATGATGTCTTTTCACAAGTGTGTGTAAGACAGGAGCTTGGGATTCACACCACGCTGACACACTCTGTTGAAATGAGTATGATTCAAACATTGTGATCCTTTTGCCTCCACCTCTTCAACATATCCTACTGCCATGTGCCACCACAACTAGCATGCACATGACCTATGTGAGCTCAAAAATCCCAGCATAGACATGGAGGAGTGAATAAGAAATCCCAACTCAACCTAGGGAACTTTTGACAATTGATGGCTGCTTGGAGAGTTAGTGTCTTTCTGGGATGAAACTCTTGGTGGGCCTAGTGGATGGACCCATATGAAGGGCATTTGGGTACACAAAGTAGACTCTATAGGCCGTATTATATATGTGAGAGGATATTAAATTGGGTGGAGGTGAGAAGGGAGAGGTGAGGATAGAAGAGGGGGTCTAATTACTATCAAACTATATTGTATGAAAAATTACAAAATTCAGTAAAAAAAAAAAAAGATTCAAACACTGTTATGCATGCCTTGAGTATGTGCTCAGATGAATGAGATTAAGAACAGTCAGAAGCCCTCACACCCAGTCCCCTTCTAGAATCAAGCCCAGGCCAATTCCTGCTCTTCTGCCTTAGATCACAGGACTAACTTCCTAACCCAAACTGTCTTAATCCTGTAGTATAGTCTGTTAGACCTTCCACAGCCTCTCCCTACCCTGACCTTGTCCCTGGCCCCTGATATGTCTGACACAGATGCACATGTCTACTTGCCTGGTAACTCAGATCCCATTCACTGTGTGGTGATTCCCCTGCAGCCTGAGAAGCTCCTCTCCCAGCCCCTGCCACTCTCACTCCCCTGGGCCTTCTGCCTGGCACCACTCCTGCTTTCTCTACTTAGATCTCTGGACTCCACCTCTTAGTCCAGACTTTGGGCAGCCCGCTGTGTCCTGATCCCTTGTACCCAGACTAGGTCAATTCTCCATCTTCATTTGTTAGGCCCTCCAGAGGCTGTCCTCACCCGCCCTTCTTGGTCTTTGGCCCTCTCCTGATCTGCCTACCTCAGACCCACCTACTACCCAGACAAGCCTATTACTCTGTGAAAACCTGAAACATATACCAACTAACTTTTCATACCTAAGCAAAAGCAACCAAGCTACATCAACAATATAAAAAGAACCAAACTTTGACTAAACAAAGTCGGAATAGAATTTCTGATCAGATACACAACCAACAAAAGGTACCCAACTGTCCAAATGATAATACAAAACCACAAATAATATATAAAAAAACCAAGAGACTATATCCCCAACAAAACCAACCAGTCTTACAGAACTACAATGAGAATAACCCTAGGGAACCCCATGATGCAGAATTAAAAAATATCATAAACATGATCAAAGGACTTAAAGAAAACACAGAGAAACAACTCAAAGGACTCCAAGAGGAGGCATAAAATTGGGATGGAAGCTAAAAAATAAAATTTAAACAATGTGGCTGAATGAAACAACAAA